GAACTTTTCACCTTACTTTGATACACACATTCAGGAATTTGCTCTAGATAATACAGTTTAACAAGAGTTAAGCTGAAGTTCTTAAGAAATGCAGCTATTTTGGAATGTACAACTGAAAACAAATAACTCTTCCTGTATGGTTATAATTTCCAAGGTTTCTTTTCCTGCAGATGGGCCTCCGCATCCTCATTGCTGACCATCCTCCACACCGGCTTTTAAAGAAGCTTTAGACCATTCAGTTCTCCCAAGCAACCTTTTACCACCAAAGCGAACTTTTCAAACATTCGCCCAAATGATTGTTTTATTCTATTTTTAACATAAGTCGACCTAATTTCTGAAATTAGCACTTAAACAGCACTTAAACCTTCTGCTTTTCTCCCCAACAACCTTGTGAGGTAGGTTAGCCTGGGAGAGAATGTCTCGTGCTTGTGCAAGGGGTTATTCTGTAAAATAATATAAACACTGCAGCATCCCCTGGTCATGTGATCAAATTTCAGATGCTTGGCGACTGACCCATATTTACAGGATTACCTATAACCCAATAACTGCCTGCTATTAACCTAGGGAGAATCTAGGATCAGCGATAGAGGAAGCTGTAAGCTCCTTGAAAACAATGCAGGAGTTAAGAGAACTTGTCAAAAGTTGTAAAAACAAATATTTCCACACCTATCTTATCTCATTTTTTTGATTGGACAACCCTGTTAACCAATGCTGGCAAAGCTATCCCTTTGCTTCAGAGGCCAGCTTGCACAAATGATTGTGAAAGACAACACACCCTGTCCTCCTCCTCTTCCGAAAGCACCAGCAGGCAAGACAAGAAATAATGGATGAAAACTAATCAAGGAGGGAAGCAACCTGGAATTAAGGAGAAACTTCCTGACGTTGAGGACAATTAACCAGTGGAACAGCTTTGCCTTCCGAAGTCATAGGTGCTTGTACCTGTATTTCTTTAAAATCATTCCTTAATAATATTTTCAATATTTTTATCAAGAAAACCACATGGATAGAGAACATCTGGAAAAGGCTTGAAAGCTGGGAAAGTTGGAAAGAAGGAGAAAAAGAGGATGCTCCATAGTAAGGTGGAAGGACTCAGTTATGATGGAAATGGGGGACCCCCTTGGAAGAAAGGAAAGACAAGGTTAGGGAGAAATCCTGATGGAGAAAACCCACCCACGTGGCCACTTGGAATTGGAACTGACTTGATGCCACATAATAAAATCATCAATGCACGGGAAAGCAGTGCTAAGTAAAGGGATGGGATTTGCAGAATTGCATGCTGGGAAAGAGGGTGCTAAATAAGGGCAGCATTGGGAGATTTGCAAACAGACTCTTATCGCTTGCACCTGCCCGGTTCAACACCTCTTCCAACGATTTGCACAACCTGAAAATGCACAAGTCAGCTCTCTCTCCCCCATGTCACCTGACATTGATATCTTCCAAGCTATTTGGCTGAGTTCCCTATTGCTATGGAAGAAAGGTCAGTGAGCTTATTATACGCACACTCTTTTACTCTCAGAGGAAGGGAGTTCTAGCTTTCACTATTATTCTCATAAAACAGGGAACCCGGTCGTGGATAAATCAACAGCTGAATGTATGCAGACAAACTGTCAATATCCTTAAAGACGTACACAGAAAAGCTGTCAATTCCTTTAAAAAGGCTTTTCTAACGTTGGCCACTTTAAGACCTCTGGACTTCAACTCCCAGAATTCCCCAGCCAGCATGGGCACCACATTACAAAAAAGACGTTGAAGCTTTGGAAAAAGTTTCAAAATGAAATTCAATGGTGAAAAAAACAAGGTTCTACATTTAGGCAAGAAAAACCAAATGCACAGGTATAGTATAGGAGGTACCTTGCTCAATAGTAGTAACTGTGAGAGGGACCTTGGAGTCCGAGTGGACAATCACTTAACTATGAGCCAACAGTGTGCTGCAGCTGCCAAAAAAGTCAACACAGTGCTGGGCTGCATTAACAAAGGGATAGAATCAAGATCACGTGAAGTATTAATACCACTTCACAATGCCTTGGTAAGGCCACACTTGGAATACTGCATCCAGTTTTGGTCACCACGATGTAAAAAAGATGTTGAGACTCTAGAAAGAGTACAGAGAAGAGCAACAAAGATGATTAGGGGACTGGAGGTTAAAACATATAAGGAAAGGTTGATGGAATTGGGTATGTCTAGTTTAATGAAGAGAAGGACGAGGGGGGACATGATAGCAGTGTTCCAATATCCCAGGGGCTGCCACAAAGAAGAGGGAGTCAAGCTATTCTCCAAAGCGCCTGAAGGCAGGACAAGAAGCAACGGGTGGAAACTAACCAAAGAGAGAAGCAACCTAGAACTAAGGAGAAATTTCCTGACAGTTAGAACAATTAATCAGTGGAACAACCTGTCTCCAGAAGCAGTGAATGCTCCAACACTGGAAGTTTTTAAGAAGAGACTGGACAGCCATTTGTCCAAAATGGTGTAGGGTTTCCTGCCTGAGCAGGGGGTTGGACTAGATGATCTCCAAGGTCCCTTCCAACTTTATTATTATTATTATTATTATTATTACTACTACTACTATTACTACTACTACTACTATTAGCAACTAGGATGATTAAAGTGTATGGCTAGTTTAGAGAAAAGTGGGACCAGGGGTGACATGATAGCAGTATTCCAGTATTTGAGGGGCTGCCACAAAAAAGAGGGGATCAATTTATTTTCCAAAGCACTAGAAAGCAAGACAAGAAACAGTGGATGGAAACTAATCAAGGAGAGAAGCAACCTGGAATTAAGGAGAAACTTCCTAACAGTGGGAACAATTAACTAGTGGAACAGCTTGCCTTCAGAAGTTGTGGGTGCTTCACCACTGGAATTTTTTAAGAAGAGGCTGGACAGCCACTTGTCTCAAACTTTATATGTTCTCCTGCTTGAGCAGGGGGTTGGACTAGAAGACCACCAAACTCCCTTCCAGCTCTATTCTGATTTGATTTGATTTGAGAGTTGAGGTCTTAAAGTGGCCAGGGCTGGCAAACTCTGCCGTACAGGTATCTCAACCCTCTGATGGGGACCACACCAGGCAGGTGGAAATAGCCCTGTAGCTTAAAACTATTTCAGGTAGCAAAACTTGAGCCTTGCCCAACAGAGCTAATCAACAGGTCTTGCAGGAAAGCACACCTGAAAACACATAACCGAATGCAACGGCAGGAGTGTTGTCCAGGCCTGCTCAGACTAAGGCATTTATTCATTCATTAGGTAGGTCCCCATCGGAGCCTGATTTAAGAAACATTGCTGGGTTTTGTGTTCAGCATCCTAAGCAATCTATTAAGAGCAGGGACATCTGCAAAGCGGAGGGGAGGGCCCAAAAGTTCAAAATGGTGCCACCACCCACACAACTGATGCTTCCTCTCTTTTTGATGTTCATTAACCGCACGGCAGAAATTTGGAGCTCAGTTGTGGTTGTTAAGTCAAGGACGGCCTGCATTTTATTCTGTGTGTGAGACTCAATTTAATTGACCATTGTCCCTTCTGGAATGCAGTCGCTGAATCGTGGGAAATAACTTTGCAGTTTGATTCTCTGCTGGCCAGATTGCATCTCCCATGCTATGCCTAAGGCTGGGGACCCAACCCTCGGAACCACAAAGGCCAGCCAGAGCATGTGCAGAGCCCTCTAACCAAGGTTGGGCCAAAGTAACAGTCTTAATTATGAACCGGCTGCCAAACACCCGTGTTTTGAACACATGACCTTGGGGATGTGTTTCACACGGTCAGTAGTGTGAAAACCGATCATAACCCACTTTTTTTTCCAGTGCCCTTGTAGCTTTGCATGGTCATTAAATGGACGGATGCAAGTCGAGGACTAGCTATATCTCATGCAGGGACGGCCTGGGTGTGGCTGGGAAGATACTAGAGGAAAATTGCCTGTAAAGAAGGTGTGAAGGTAGGGTACAATTTGTCTCTTGGGAAACAAAGACAGAGCTGGAGAGCAGGGAAGGGGACAGGAGATGATAGCCAAACACCTGGATCCATCCAAGCTATTTTCCATATAGCCATAGTTTGCCCCTGACTTCCTCTTGGATCCCAGCCCAACCCACATTTGTGGCATTTCCTGGTGGTCCCTCATCCAATACTAATCGGGTCCACATTTTTTGCACATAAGGCCAAAACAAGGGTTCAACCCTCCCTCCAACGCACAGAAACAATGCGTGTGTGTGTGTGGGGGGGGGGGGGGTGTTTCCCAAAATTTTCTTTGATAAATGACTGCTCTCCTTCGGAAGAAAACAGAGAGCTCCAGAAAGAAAGCCAAGCCAAACGACTCGTCCAACAGAGCAAGAATAACACCTTGTGTGTGTGTGTGGTGTGTGTGTGTGCGCGCACAGGAGATCCTAGCAAAGCCTTTTTCCCAAATTAGGGAATGGAATTCTTTCTTCCCTCGTGGTGCAAACTGTAACTTACGGACTTGGCGAATGCGGGTAGGAAAGACGGTTTTGCAAATTAATATTTAGATGGGAAAACGCCATTCAACATGCAAAAGAACGGGAAACCGACTTAAAGAGCCCCAAAACACTCGCGATCAGCCTCGCGCATCCCGACGTTCAGGACGCACCTCCCATCACCTGCTACCCTTGGTAGCCGGGGAGGATGGGCAGAGGAACTCGTCACCTCCAGAGAGCGCCTGGCGAGCGAGCGGGAAAAGTTTTTCAAGAAAAGGGAAAGTCGGTTTAACTGAATTGAGCGGAGCTAAGTTCAACTCGTCGCGGACGAGGCGGCAACCCGGTCCGGACTTTCGATATCCAGGGGCGTCTCGTATATATATATTCCGGGTTGCATCCATCGCCAAGAGATGCCGGGGAGGGGAGGAGGGGAGATGGGACGATCGAGTTTGAAAGTCGCCAGGGTTGAGAACTACATCTAGCTCCCCAAACTCGCTGCAAGCGCGCTCTGCACGCGCTCAGAGGCAAAAGGCAGCTCCACTGCACGAGGCCCGGCCCGGCCACCGTCTTCCGCCGCATACGCACCTGCAAACCCACCGCCGACCGTTCGCTTTCTCTGCAAAGATCGCAGCTCTTCCAGCTGCTTCCCGGCGGCTGCAGCCTGTCTCTTTCAGCTGGTCAGCTCCCCGCCCATCTGTTGAAGTTCCGCTCGGGACAAACACCCCCACCCCTCCCCGGGATTGGTGGGGTAGAGGCCGCGCCGCATATTGACCCCTCCCCTCAACCACCCCTCTTTTAACCTGGCTCGGGGATCCGCCACTCTGGCTCAGGGGCCGGTTTCTTGACTCGGTCCGGATTGCAGAAAACTTGATTAATTTTATATACTTTTTGATTACCAGGTAGAATAGAGGCGGGCACTAGGGGGCGACAGAGCGGGTTGGGGAGGGGAAATCTCAATAAAGGAGAGTATTTGTAGCTCCTGGTTGAAATGCGGAGTTTGTACTACAGTAATTTAAGAATAGAATAGAACAGAATAGAATCTTTATTGAGAATATAATAGAACAGAACAGAATAGAACAGAATCTTTATTGAAAATAGAATAGAATAGAATAGAATAGAATAGAATAGAATAGAATAGAATAGAATAGAATAGAAACCCTGATGCTCTCCGAACTTGGTTGTTTTCTTGCAGATGTTTCTTTAGCCAAACTAGGTAACATCAACAGTGTGTGTAAGGAAAGGGATTTGCTCTCAATTGATATTTTGGGCAGTGGTGGCGAACCTATGGCACTGGTGCCAGAGGCAGCACTAAGAGCCCTCTCTGTGGCCACACGTGCCATTGCCCCAGCCTTGCCTCCCCCTGCGACCCCCTCACCTCTGGAGGAGAATCTCCCCCCAAGGACATGGCAGCCAGGCAGCGTAGACAAGACTCTGTCCTCACGCCCCATCATGCACAGTTGATGCTGCAGGGTGCGGGCAGAGAGCATGGCCATCATGGCGCTGCTGGGCTGCCTGAGCGGCCCTGGAGGCGATGAGTGGCCCTGCGGGCAGGGGGGGTGGGGGTGGGGCAGGGGGTGGAGCAGGGGTAGGGCCAGTTTTTGGGCACTCGGTCTTTAAAAGGTTCGCCATCAATGTTCTAGGGGTTTGCCATGTTCAGTGTTGGTGGGAGTGATCCTGGGGGGGGGTGTTTGGTTGGTTCAGAAGACATGATGAAAATTCTTTAATTTCACAACATATGGACAGACTTAAGCATACTTTCAACTGGGAAAGTGTGGCCATCCTAGAACAAGGCGAGTCTAAAAAAAACGCCAGAGAATTCCCAGGGGCCTGGCAAGCTGACCAATTGTCCATCAATGGACACACAGACATACACAACATCTACATACTGTGCAAAAGACACAATCAACAAGTCAAAAAAAGGAACGAAAAGACCGAAACACCTCCCCACTGGCAATCAACACCCAGATAAACATAGATTCACCAAGATTAACATCAGACCAACAATCAAGAAGTAAACAATATCAAAATCAAGGAAACAGCTAAGCTTAGAGAGCACAAGGACCTCTCAAGATTGGGGGGTCTGATTTTTGCCACCTTTACAACATCTCTGTCAGGTAGGCTAATTTGAGCCATGACATGGAGCACTTCCTGACGATGGGAGGATTTGAATGCAGTTCTCTCCACCTTTTCTCCTTCGGTCTTCCAGTGCAAATTTTCCACTGCAATAATAAGTAAAGGATAATGGGCAAAGGAGAGAGACCCTTTAAAGCCTTTTTGTTGTTGTTGTTGGCATTAAAAAAAAATTTTTTTGGTTCGATTGATTCTGGGACTCTGGAAATTCTGCTGGAAGGAAAAAAAAGAGATTGTGGGATCCAGTCTGGGTCAGTCACCGGGACCAGAGGCTTTGTCTTCCAAGCTTTTGGACTTGTGCTAGAGCCCATCCTTAGGAAACTTCTCCCTAGCAGAGTGTGTGCTGTTCTGTGTGTGGTATTTATAGTGTCTGTTGTAAGTGGCTCTTTAGATGTTGATTGGGTTGTGTTGATGGCTGGCTTTTAAGTCATTAAAAGCTGTCATTTGCTTGTGCTGCCCAGCCTTCAGCTTCTAAGTACTTGATAGGCTCATGGTAACTCAGCACTCCTGTTGAATGACAAGGCACCTGTTTCCCAGGCTTCAATCACTTCCCTGGCTGTTTTTGTGCCTTCTCATCCAATAATCTTGGTAGCTGCAAAATTGAATGTATGTCCTTGTTCATTACAATCTGAGGCTACCAATGAGTTTGGGCCTCCTTGTCTGACTGCCCGCTTGTGTTCTTGCAGTCTGGTGCTTAGCTGCCTCCCCATCTGTCCTACATAGTCACAGGGGCAATCCATACAGAGGATTTGGTAGATTACATTCGAAGTATCTCCCACCTCCAAGCGATCTTTCCAGTGCACAATTTGTGATTTAAGGCTGGGAAACAGGCGCCTCATCAATCAACAGGAGTGCTGATTTACCACCAGCTTATCAAATGCTTAGAAGGCGAGGGTTAGGCTCAGTGGTGGGATTCAAATACCTGAACAACTGGTTCTCTGCATGGATGCCACTTCCAGAAGTCTGTTCTGAGCCAGGGAGGCCTCCCTGGACCAGAACGGCCCACTAGAAGGGCGTGGATGCCACTTCCAGAAGTCCGTTCTGAGCCGGGGAGGCCTCCCTGGCCTAGTACGGACCTCTGGAAGTGGTGTCCATGCACTTCCAGTGGGCCGTTCTGGGCCTGGGAAGCCTCCCCAGCTCAGAATGGACTTCTGGAAGTGGCATCCACTCACTTCGGCAATCCATTCTGGTCCTTGCAAAAAAGGGCTAGGGTATCAGCCAGTTCACCAAAATCAACAAAAAATTACCTACCGGTTCTACCAAACCGGTGTAAACTGGCTGAATCCCACCACTCTCTGGGCATCACAAGCAAAAGACAGCTAATGACTTAAAAGCCAGCCATCAACATACTCCAATCAACATCTAAAAAGCCACTTACAACAGACACTATCAATACCACACACAGAACAGTACACACTCTGCTAGAGAGAAGTTCCCTGAGGATGGGCTTCAGCACAGGTCTGAAAGTTCAGAAGACTAAACCTCTGGTCCTGGTGACAGACACAGATAGGATCCTGCAACATTATCCTGGGACATGTATATTCACCTCCATTTGTGAAAAAAGAGATTCATTATCAAGAGCCGATCAACAGCACAGAGGCACCTTTTGTAATGTATTGAGTTAAACTTATGGAGCAGATGGCTGAGATCTGTACAGGAACGGTTAGCAGACCACGTGGCCTGCTAGCCAGACTTGCTGTCTACAAGACTGTTAATTATTCATTTGAGAGGGAGAATACTGTGCTCTCATTGGCTGACCAGAACTGAATGTATAAATAGGGGTGGAGCAATGCTTGTTAATTTCTGTTTTGATCTTCAGTAAAGAAGTACTTGTTCTATTACTGCTTCTTCAATGCTGAACCAAGCAGAAAACAAAATATTGGTGATGAAGGTGGGATCGTGCTGCCACAATTCGAAGAGCTGAGTCACTACGGGGGAAAGGCCTAGCAAGCACTTGGTTGGAATGGCGTTCCACCCCCCGCTCACTCTATCCTGCCAGTATGGAAACGCTGGAGGAGAGTGCTTCCAAGGATCCGCCCTGGAAGTCCCACGGAAGCCTGTGCAGCACGAGGCATCAAACAGGCCGTGGAAGACTCACCATGGTGAAGATAGGAAGACTCTCTGAATTTGACGTCGCTCCTCCAGAGAGGTGGAGCTCCTACGTCGCAAGAGTTGAAAACTACCTGCGAGTTAACCAAGTTCGAGATGACGGATTGAAGGCTGCAACACTACTGTGTGTTTGCGGTCAAGCAACATTCGACATCGCAGAGAACTTGGTTGCACCAGCGCCGCTTGAGTCCATTGCGTACGCAGAACTTAAAAAGATGCACAAAGAACATTTTGGGCCCAAGCTTTCAGTCATTGCTTGGCGGCACACCTTCAAACAGCGAGACCAACGTCCCAGCGAGTTCACCACTGACTTCATAGCCGCTTTTTGCCAAGCTGCACGGCAATGCGAATTCAAAGATCTTGAAGAAAGGCTGCGGGACCATTTAGTTTGTGGTCAAGAAGCCGAGAACTACAACAGAAGATCTTTGCTAAAGAGACTATCTCATTTCAAGATGCATTAAGGGAGATCGTGCTGCCACATTAAGGGAGATAACGGCCAAAGAAGCAGCAGGCGGAACTGTTAAGGCCTTGCGGCTCTCCAAGAACCCTCCTTGCACGGAGGTTGTCCATCAAGAGGATGCCGAGAGAGTTGAAGACTTTGAATCGGACCACGAAGTCAATCGGTTGCAGCAACCTCCAGAAAAACGCCCTCAGCAGCAACCTGACAAGGCAGCTTCTTTCTCTTGTTGCATCAGGTGTGGAGGCCGTCACAAACAAGCTGACTGCTGGTTCCGCCAGGGAAGAAGCACCTTTTGGGACAGGCTCTGAGCAATTGCATGCTTCAGGGAAGGAGCTTCCCTGGCAGGAGCCGAGTTTGCAAGCCTCGTTGGCAAGCCGGGAAAACCGAAGGTCCGGAGGGTTCTCTCCTGCTTTCGGAGTTTTTCTTGCCTGCCCGCCCGGGCGGAGAGCCTGCACCTCCCCTTCTCCTGTGGCCGGGGAAAGAGGGCCGGCCCCGAGCCTGTCATGGAGGACTTTTTAGGCCCCGGATACCCTCCACCCCCTCCCCCGTCAGCCCAGGGCCAGGCACTGCAGCTCCACAGCAGGAGGGAATCCTCCAAACCTTCAGTTTTCCCGGCTTGCCAAGGAGGCTTGCAAACTCAGCTCCTACCAGGGAAGCAGCACCTTTTCGGATGGGTTCTGAGCAATTGCATGCTTCAGGGAAGGAGCACAGAGGCCTGCAACCAGGCAGGCAGGCAGACACTGGGTAGCACGAACTAAGTGGCGAGCAAACCCCCAAAACCTTTTGCGTTCGTTTGCAAAGAAGCAGTGAAAACCGGTCCAGCTGGTCGGGGTGCGGAACTGGGCTGTGGATGCCAGGCCTTGCTCACCGGCAACGCTGGAGCCTCCCACACCAACCAGTAGGTCTCCCGTGCCGCTCTGCTGGGACTGCCGCTTTCTGGCTGCGTGGTTGCCTCCCTCCGGAGCTGTCTTCCCCCCCCCCCGGACCATGCGCCACCAGTGTCTTCTCTTTGCAAATGAATGAAAAAGATTTTGAGGTTT